TCTTTACTGTTTGGAATAGTTTAGATGGAGACAGGGAGAGAAGAGGGAAGTTTTCATGTCCTTTCTTTTGGGGTGTTGTGCCTGCATCAGAAATCCTGAAATGGTGACTGGCTGCATGGGGGAATTACTCTTTTTACCTACATATGTAAACCAGCATTATAAGTTACATTTCAGTTGTTTTCTTTGTGTTGTTCTTCATTGCTTTCTTCTTTGCAATGCTGTTCTGAAAGTGTATATTCTGAAGAATGTCAATAACACACAGACTTGGACATGACAGAAATCTTCCAAATGCAAAAATCAGTAAGGAGGGTCTGCCAAGACACTCTGGGTGCTCCTGTATACAGAGCTGTAGTCACAGGGCATCTCCATTATTAATTCTTCCTATATGTAAAACATCTTTTTAAATATTATTAGCTTTTAATAGGCTGGTTCTTGTGCAATCTATCCCATTTCTGTTTGCTAGATGCCATTTACTATTGTCTTGATATTAGTTGTAATATATATTCTTACTTAATGCAGTGTTTGTTCCATCTCTTTTGGGCCATTTGATTTTAGAGTGGTGGCACCAGCAATTAGGAGAAATTTTTCAAGCAAAGTGCTTGTCCACTGTCTTGGAGAAAGACTGGAGAATTGTAAAATTCAAGCATTTTTTTTTTAGCAAGGGACATGAAATTTCTGTATGCCTTATTCTAACAGCAGAGAACAAAGTGTGTGGGAGGGTTTTTTCAGATTAAATATGTATTTATGGAAAGGACAATCTTGACAGAAAATAAACCAACTAGTGTTACAGATGATAGTTGTTTTGAAAGGTGAGTTTTCTGTTTTGACTGCTAGTAAAGAGAAGGATTTGTTCTTGACCATGTGCTCTTTTTAAATAAAACCAATTCTGAAATAATTTCTCATTCCCAGATCACTGTTGTGCTGTAAGATTCAGCTGTTACTGGGTCACAGCAGCACAGCAATACTGAGGATTTTTGATACTTTTGCTGTGACAGCAAACAGAAAGCATTGGAGCCTGATGATATGACAGGCCATGTGATGGCAGTGAATTCCTCGTCTCAAGGCAGGAAAATACGTGTGACCTCCTCAGTAAAAATGCATCATTCAGTGGGAGCAGAAGCCAGAGAACTGTGTGGACAGCACTAACACCAAGAGACACAATTTGTACTACTTGGTCCAGAGGAAGAATAAGATGTTGTAACAGTCTCTAACCAGTCACATCTGGTGGTCCAAAGCTGCCCAGGAGAGTGAAATACTCCACTCTTGTCTGTTCCTGAGACTTGGTTGCCATGGTCACAGCTTTAGAGATAAAGACTTTCTTTTCCTGTATTTTGTATGTATAGTAGGGGGTCAGAGCAGTGGTGTTGCTGCTGTACAGACACCCTTATCTTTTCTCCTTCATCCATTGTTGTTTTATACTCCCCAACTGAGATCTTTGAGCTCATTTGTGTTTAAAATGCTTCAGTTTTGAGAGTTGTCTTTATTCCTGTTCCCTTTCCTGTACTCTCATGTACAGGCTTTGTTTTTTCTTACTCTTCATTATTTTCCCTTAAAATCAAGGACAACATATTCCTAACAAATAACTGTTTATGAACAATACCTGCTGTGCCCCAGTGTTCTTCTGACTGTTTACAGTGGTCAGCAAGTCCTTGTCATATAAACAGGCTTCTAAATTCCTTCCCCCTCACCCACCTCCCTTTTGTGTCTCTGAAAGATTTATTCAGAAATCACAGAATACAGGGATCTTCCTTTATTTTGGCTCTGCCACGTACTCACTTAATAAATGAGTATTTTGAGCTCTTTACAATGATAATAATATGAATACTTTGTAATACTTTCCTCATCACCCACTCCCTTCATACACATTTTGCTATGCACTTGGTGCCATTTTATTGCAGGTCCAGCTGTGCACACAAACCTCTACAAATAGATGCACACATATAGAGAACATGATTAGGCATTATATGCATGTATATGCATGGGTTTTTTTAAGAAAGTAACCATCTTCTGGAGGGTGCTACTTAAAAGGGATTTGAGACAGCTGTTATGCATGATATATAAATTATTTAAAGATGTAAATCTGAGTTTTTCAAATTGATTTTATGATTTAATATTCAGTAAGAAACCAAGCTGGTTGTCCAGGGCAGTTTCTATTCAATGTTTCTCTCTATAAATGTACCTTAAAAATTAAAAACCCCAACCAATTGTAACTCCTCTGTGAGAAGCCAAATATGAACCTAGAAGGGATTTTTCATCTGATGTTAATTTTCTCTTCTCCAGACTACTCATAAAAAATGGTATTGCAATGGCATCATCCCCACCATTGACAGTCAGAAAGGAGTTTGGTTGTAGCAAAGTGTTCAGTAACCCAACCTCCTGCTTGGTGGTTTCTCAGTTTGCATCCATAATTCTATAATATATAGAAGCAGATCCGTCATCTATTTAAATAAGATATATATGTGTGTGTGTGTAGAATATATAATATCAATTTTCTTTCATGCACATCAAGAATACCTGTATGTTCCATTCAGATGGTGAAATTCTGCTGTCCCCTCTTTCTGTAACTTACCACTCATTCTGGTCTGGTTCTTTTTCTGTCCATTAAATTCTTTTTCTTCAACCAGGAGGTGAAAATTTGTCTCTGAAGCTGTTGCCAGGGAAAACACAAGGCTTAAATATATTTTAATTTTTACTCCTATGTGTGTATGTACGCACAGGAGGATACAAAGTCAGACAAATCTTCATTTTTGTTGGAAATGGAGTTTTATCCTCTTTTCCCACTGTAGTGAAAACCTTAACTAAATTGTATTCTCTTATAAATCCACAAGATTATCCTGCAGAATAATCTGACAGAGGGATGACTGGTGGTGAGGCACTTGTGCATCTGGAGCTCACAAAACTTGTTTTGAAGTTCTCTCTAACATTGAAGAGTGTGTATAATCAGGTCTTTGAAATTTAACACCATCCTCCCAAAATCCTTGGATTTATCAAAAATTTATTGCAATTTCTGCCTTAGATCCTTGTCTATAAAAACAGCAGGATACCTGTAATTTCACGGGGAAATTATGATAATAGTCTTTCTGAAGCACTCGAGGATTCTGGCAGTGAGTTGCACTGACAAAAGTGTTACAGAAAAGGAGTCTGGATATATGTGTGTACATACATACAAATATTCCTGTACATACACACAAATATTCCTGCATAGTGAACTCTCCAGAGAAGGTGGTAGAGAAAGCTTGGTCTCCACACTTAACAGTAGGGAGAACAACTACTTCCTTGGTGAACTTTATCTTTTGCTCTGAATAATCCAGGGAGTTCTGTGGGAAAGCAAGGCGTGCTTCCAGCTTTACAGTTTAGATTATGTGCATTAAGAGACCAAAATAATATTAGCTAAGTGACTATTATTTCCCAACTTCTTAACTTTTCAAACGCTACGATAGTTTTAAGAATGTGTTTGCTCGTGTCTGGTGTGAACTGCATAATCCTCCTTTGTAGGCATCTCCTAAGAGTTCTTGTGTTCCTGAAATACTGAAATGTTGCAATGTTGGGATCTTTACAGCCAGTGTTGTCTTTCCAAGCATTTGTAGACAGCCTAACTATGAAGATCTTTGGGCAACTTACTTTCCTTTCAGTAAATATCCAATTCTGTAATGGTCTTTCCACTGGCTGCAAGTGCTGGGGAGGGATTAAGAAAATTATGAAAACTTAAGAAAAACAACTGCTGATCCTTATTTTTTTTTCAGTGTAATATTACAGCAGCCTCTGGCATTCCACTGATTTTTGAAGGGGACAGAGAATCAGTTGCCTTTTTTTTTTTCTCTGCTCTGAATTCAAAGACTCTTTGTCATATGAGTAGCAGAGGTGATGCTACAGTGAACAGAAATGGATGAGTTTCAGAGAAATAATTTCAGATAAAGAGATTTTATACACACATATACACACAAACACTTATTGTGTGAGATCCCTCAATCCCAGTCCAATATTTTTAGCAGGTGTTACTGATAGAACTTCAGTGTTACACATTTTTTTTTCTTGTAGCAGTGAAAGAGAAAATTCATGTTGTATTACTTGAGGGTAGAAAGAATTCAAACTTAAGGGAAAAACATTTCACGTTGTAGCTGATATTTAATACTTGAAAAATCCTTCAGATGTACTTTATCTCTGATATTTATAGGAAACATGCTATTTCAGCAATTTCTTTTAATTCCTATAGGAAATGTGCAGTATATAATAGTAGTTCATTTCAAAGACATTTAGTCTCAGTTTAGGTATCTTTAATGTGAGTTACAAATAAACCACTATTACTGAAATTATTACTAAATAAATTTTTACTAAAATAATATTATTGGGTATACCAGCTGGAGGAATCAGATTCCCTAAAGCCATACAAGCAATGACAGTCTCTGAAACATTGAATTCAAATCCCTAATGACTGAGCTACATGTATATTCAGGTGTTTACAAACTGTCTTTACCTCTGACACTTTTAGGAATGGAATGAAAAAATTGGGCTTTGTCTTGCTATTTGTAATCTAGAACACTAGAGGACAGCACTAAAATATTACATAAATGTGTTATTGTTTACACTGTTAATGATATAGGTGCTCTGAGAGGGCTTTGTGAGAAGAAAACCAATTACTCTTTTGAACAGTTTGGGCAAGTGGTATTTTTGTGAATATTCTTGACTCCTTTTGAAAGCTGCATCTCGCTTCACACCTATAAAATATCTGGAGTTGCTTTTGATCTGAAACAAAGTTTCGTGGCAGTGATTTCTTTAGACATTAAGCTTTATTTTTTTAATAGACCCTTGTAGAATAGACCCTTGTGCAAAATAATATTTTTAAGTTCCAAAAGATGAGGAATTAATTGCCTCATCTGTAAATGTTTTGTGGTTTATTTGCTCCCATGAAGTGTACTATGTTAATACTCTGATCCTTCCACAGAGATATGGAATGCTGTAGTTCCTTGAAAAAGTTACAGCCTCTCTTGTGTTTTCTCCAGGCACCCTGGAACGACATGAAACAGGTGAAACAGCGAGAGCAATTCTTGCTGCTATTGAAGATTCAGAATACTTGGTGGCAGATGCTCCACTTCCTGTATCTCAAGAGTCAAAAAGAAATAAGAATTCTGGATACAAACACTCGAGCTCCTGTAAGCATGGCATGGGCCCTTACAACCTTATTCATGCAGAAAAATCTTCAGATAAGGTAAGGAGGAAGAGTAGAACGTTTCTCAAGAGTAATGAGTTGTTATCCAAGTTCTTTCCCCTTGAACCCTCACTGATATATAGCTGTGTGTAAGTACCATGTGGCTTGGGCTTAAGTTTATAAAGGTTTCTTCTGACTGGCTCAGCTTTTATGCCTTCAACAACCCCATTTCATAAAAAAACACCACTTTGTAATCAATGGATTTGGGGAATTCTGTTCTCTTCAATAAACAGAGGAAGTCACGTCTGCTTTCCTCAACTCTCAATGTGGATAGAAACTATTTTCCCACAAGTAATGAAAACGAAAAATGCTTTCCCTCAACTCACGTGTGGAAACAGACTTGAGGATGGTCTCTGGCCTTTTTCTGGCTTTATTAATTATAGTAAATGAAGTACTGGATATTTCAAAACTCTCTGATAAAGTACAGCTTAATCCAAGTCCTAGTTCTTGAATTATCTGGTCTTTTCTTCATTGTATCTACAAATTTACGCATAACCTTGAGTTTATAATGATTGTAGTTTAACTCTTAATATTTCTCTTTGACCTTTTACTAACCTTAGTCTGATTTCTAAAGTTCTTTTTGATCCCATTTTCTGAAAAGTCTTATTAGAGCGAAATCCTGCTGAGCATGTTGTGGGGCAGATGGTGCACTAGTTGGCCATTGACACAGAATCTGATCTCCCTGTTTATTAAAAGGAATAGTTTCTTCTTTCCTTTTTAAATAGGAACAAAGGGAAAAAGTTTTGGGAGTTGTTTGGGGTGAAGTTTTAGGCATATCTGTTAAATTGAAAATTGCATGGATTTAACAAAGTGGCTGGAAAGAAAATGTGCTGCTTATGGAAAATGGGAAAATAGTTTTTTGTCGGTTTTTTAAGTGTGGAGTTTAACATGTTTTGGGAATTATCATGATCTTAAATGAGAAGAAATATCACAGTAGGCAACAGTGGAATTGTAATAATTTTTAGTGCTTTTATTGATCAAATATTCATCTTGACTGCTGATTTCTCAATACAATATTCCATATTCTTGTTTAAATGTTCATTAATTATCTTTTCCAAATGAAAACATTTTATTGAGAATGTTATTGATGTCTTTTAGACTTTTCTTGTCAAAATACTTTCTTGGTTTTTTTAATTTCCCTTTTTTTTTTTTTGTCATTATAGACCTGTTAGGTTAGTCTAATTTTGTAATAAATTAAGTTCTATACTTGGGAAACCACTTTTCATTCATCAAAAATGTGTCACCCATTGCATCCAGAGTTTCTTCCACTTCAGTCTGCATTAGAGAAGGTTCTGTAGATTGGTGTGGGAGATGCTGGAGGCTAAATATATATAGTGTAGCTGAACCTGGTAAGAATATAACAATGGACATCCCCTTAATGCTATTCCAGGAGCCCAACACAGGCTGCACAAAAGGAGTGTGGAGCTCTGCAGCTTTTTTTTAGCCCTGTTTTGTTTTTGCTGAAATTAAGGCTTGTTATGAACTCTACTGTTTTTCTCAGTTTTTCTGCAGGAAACTTTTTTTAGGTTTTTCAAAAAGTGCTGTATTGACTCTTTTGAATTCTTGTATTTTAGCATCTTGAAATAGAGTCTGGAAATCTGAGATCCCATGAAATAACTGAGAGGACCGTGGGTGTCAGCCTTCAACATTCCATACCATATTAATAAAAGCATATAATTAGCATACAGATGAAACTATCATGAAACTCTCAGATTATAGAAGGTTTTAATATAGAATGAGTATTTCATTATAAATTTCCTTCCTTTGCAAATTGTGTATTAGAAATTTAACAACATACTAAATTGTTAATAACATTTCTATCAAAACCCCTGACATCATCAATTTTAGCCTATTTTAAGAACTCAATTTCAGAAGATTTATGTAACAGAAAAAAGGAGGGGGTAGCTATTCTGTCCTCTTGGCACTGTACTTGTGAGTGATCCTTTTGTACAATGAGATGATCCACGTGAAGCCTGCAAGTAATATTCAGCATTTCTTCTTACTCTTTATTATTATGTTGTTTTACCATTCCTATTATATTTAAGGCAAAAGAAGATTTCCAAAATAATGGTTTCTCTCCACTCAATCCTAAGAAAAAGGATATCCTCACATAGTAGTCCAGCTTCAAAGGCTTTCTTTCAAAACATTTGCCATCATGTAAATCACAGATACAAAGGCAGAATGTTTTGATTTCATGGTGTTTTGACCATTTTAATTCTTTTATTGTGCAGCACGTGCCAGTGGGAGTACCAATAACAGATGACTGTGACAAATGCAGTTAACACAAGATCCATATTAATGTTGTCAAATCCCCCCGATATATTTAAACAGATTTTAATTATTTTTAATGTCAAAAGCCCCCCAAATATATAGTTTAATAGTTCCTCAAGAAAGCTTTACTTAATACGTGAATGTAAAACCTCTCATAAAAATGAAACTTTTATATTGGCCTTAGTCATTGACATAGGGTATTCATCAAGTCAGCAATTTGTGTGGCAAAGTGCCATTTGAATAGTGTATTGTTAGAATACTTATGGTCCACTTGACAAGGGCTCTTGCTGTAAATAGTGCAATTTGACTCCAGCTGTTAAAGAGTGGCTTTGACAGCAGCCAAATAGAATGGAGATGCTTTACTGCACCGCAGAAAAATCAATATTGGGTTCTTGTTCATAGTAACCTGTTTTTTCTTTTTTTTTTTTTTCCCCAGATTTATACAAGACTATCTAGAGTTCATTTGTGAAAGTTTAAATATTATTTTGGAAGTGAGGCTGTTTTATTTTCGGAGTAATGTTGGTGATGAGTGGTGCTCGTGTTTAGTTAAAAAGAAAAAGATAGTACTTTGTGGAAACACACTAATGTGATAATGCAGCATTATTTCAACTCTCAGTTTATTGGGATGGATATTAGGATGTGGGTGCATAAGTTGTGTAATGAATGACAAAAAAATGGTCTTTTCTTCCTCTTAGGTTTTTTTCTCTTCTTTTTGTATTGCCCCTGTAGTATCCCTGTCAATTTTCTAAGTATAGGGTTTTTTTTTTAAAGCAGATTTCTTTGTTGTTCTCCCTGTAACAACCCCCACAGATGTTGACTATCTGTAGTGCCATTGTAGATTTTCCTGAAGCATAGTCTTGCTGGTGCTGAACAGTTTTCCAGCAGCATTCAGTGACACGAGGTTGCTATGATACCTGGCCAGTAGCAATAGGTATTGAATCACTGGTCTTAATTACAATAGACTCCACACCAGACTCTGTGCTCATGGTGTTTATATGGAACCAGCTCTCATTATACCTTTAAGTCATAGTTATATTTGAAAATTGGAGCTGTGTGAAAAGCTGATTTAAAAAAAAAATTGAAATGCTTCAGTGCGTCCTATGAAGATTTCATTGATGCACATAAAAAGCTGGATGTGTCTGGGAATTGTTTTCCTGATGTTCCAGAAATCTTTCGTGTTAGAAAGTTTCCTAGCTTTTCAGCTTCAGTAATTCGGATATAAATGTGTGTTTTTCACACTCTAATATTTGTAGTGATTTCAGTTATGTAATTAGAGTCTTCTGTGTAAAAATGTTGGAGGAAGAGCAGCTTCTAAAACCTGCCAATAGTTGCTAATACTTGAACTCTTGAATTATTCTACTGAAGAGCTAGATTAGAAAAGGGAAATTTTTACTCTGTATCTAAGAAAAGACAAAGATGGGGGGAGAAACGTATTTATTTATATGTGAACTTTTGTTGGAGTGTTAGGTATATGTATTACTTGATATGTAAACCCAGCAATTTCTTAAAATACCCAGTATTAATAGTTCTAAAGAAGTTGGTATTCACTTAAATAATAGCATACATAGCTCCTCTAAAAAAAATATGTAAAGACAAGAATGCTCAGAAATTATAAATAATAAAATAAATATCTGTTTTGTTGCTGCACAGAATAAGTAAGAGACAAATGAAGACTGTAGGACAATAGTGGTTATTTGTTTTAGTATAGCAAAGGAAGCAATTTGAAAATAAAATTGTTATTGGAAGCCTGGAAAATCACTACTAGTTAAATCTTACTGATGGAAAAATTGGTAGAAAAATGGAAATGAGATACAAGCACAAATACAAAATAATACTTAGCAAATAGGAAATCAAGAATGGTACCATAAACAATGGTGTTGTAGGCATGGATTGCTTTAATTTGTTTCCTTTTATAATATTTAGAGCATTGTTATAGGGAATTACAGATCTTGATCATTTCTGTGAAGTGGATTATTAAGAACAAAGCAAAAGAGAAAATAGATATTTCTCCTTGAAGTTGGTAACCTTATGTTGTTGCTTCCAGGGTATTTATTTTTTTAATTTTCTGGAACCAGTGTTCAGTATCTTTATTTAGTAGTTATATTAAGTAAATGTAATAGGAAAATGAGTGAAGAAAAAAAAAGCTTGATACATACAGATATATTTTTTCTCTATAATTCAGTTGCAAAGCATTTCAGTCCTGCATTTCCTGTGAAATTTCACAGTTAAGTATTTTATCAAGGGACCAGAGTAGCAACATAACTTCAGTGAAGCAAAAGCTTCAGAGTTATGAGATTAAATTTGTACCAGTTAAAAGGAATCCTGATCCTGAGAGCTGTTGATAGCTTTGACCACATGCCATCTCTGATGAAAGTTACTGTAGTTTTTGAAGAGGTCCACCAAGTCAAGAGTTTGTTGATTTGTGTTTTCTCCATTGATCACCTCAAAGCAAAATGGAAGCAAAAAGTTGCCATTGTGATCTTGTAGCACATTTTAATCTTGCAGATGTGGCTGGCAATCAACACAGGCTGGCAGAAATCTTACAATAAGCCTTAAATATTTATTTCAAGGCTTCTCACCCTGTTTCTGTATACTTTTACAGGCTTTTCTTCTGTTACTTTACTGAAGGTGACTGACTTAAAATTTTTATTTTCCCTGCCTAGACAACGAATTGAACTGTGTGATAAAGCTAAAGAAGGTGCTGTGGTGTCCTAGTAGAAATAAATCTG